CCCCAAAACCCCAAAACCCCAAAACCCCAAAACCCCAAAACCCCAAAACCCCGAGATTCATGGGATATTGAACATTAAATATTCTACTTTGGATTTTTATAGTACAGAGGACTATTCTAAAGGAAATTTAAGAAAAATGTTCAGTAAGAGACCTCTATTGTTGTAAAAGAATTGAATATTTTAAACTAATGCAGACAGGTACATCAGAGAATTGGATCTGATTAGCACAAATTCAGTACAAGTAATTTTAAAAGTAAACAAACCTCAGACTTTAATGCAACTTACAAAGTAGTTCACTTAAGTAATCTGGACTAAATCAGCTTCAATTGGGTCAAAATATCCAAAAAATTACTCTAAAAATGCTAAAAACCCATCTCTCCTCTCTTAACCCTTCAAAGCCTGCCTTCCAACCCCAAATTTTGATGTTTTTATGAACAAATTATCTCTGGCTTCCAAATCATAAGGTTTCTTAGACATTTTTAAACCCATAGAGATCGATGGCTTCGTTGCCCTTCCTTCCTTTGAGTACATTTTCGAGCGCCTAAATTTTATAGTTAAGACTCACCTTTTTGTGGCCTTCTGCGTATCCCTTTCTGATCTTTTTGTAGAAGTACTTCTTCATCCGTTGCTCCTTCTGGCAAATTGGGAGTCCTGGCTCGGCTAGGTTAGGAAGCTTGGTTGAGAACCTTGGCTCAGGACTGTAGAGACCAGGTACAGGAGAGTCATCTTTTTGGCAGACTTCTCTTTTCTCAAGCCGGTCTACTGACATTATCATTTTAGGTGATTTCATGCCTATTAGAGCAGGAGTTAGAGATATTATGAGTTTAAGAATCTTATAAAGTAAGGTAAGAAAGTCAGCAGTTTTAGAGAAGACTTAGCAGAACCAAAAGCCGTTCTGTATTAGGACAAATCTAAAAATAAGCAACTGAATAAACTTTGTAAGTAGCACAATTTAGGATAATCTCTGGAGGGTGTTATTCTAGATGACCTCTTTGCACAATAATCACCTTTTCATTTTCTTCTGTGGGGAGAAATTCTTATGATACTGTTTAGCCTCCTTAAATGATTTTTGAGTCATATTTTTAGTCATCCTCGTAAATTTAGCTTGAGCTTTCAGTGGATTCCATGGTTTATTTAGACATATAGATACTCCCTTTTTGGTTTGTTTCTTGATTCTCTCTTCTCCATCTGTTATTTACTATAACCATTAGCACCTTTCGTAGTTTCGAAGTATAATCAACTAGTCTCTTCTATCCCCTTTAACCCCTAGTTTTGGTCTTGAAATTCTTCCAGCCCACTAAATCCTGAATCTCTCCGTCAGCTAAAATAGGGCTTTGGTTAGTAAGCCTGAAGGGCTTACTGACTTATAAGAGGAGAGATGACTGGGAAGAGTCAGGAGGAAGAAATAATTCTGAGAAGGTAGAATTTTACGGGATTTTGAAGAGAGTCTCGGAAGGAATGAGGGTAAGAGGGCTTAGGAGGGATAGGAGTGATATAGGAATGGGGAAATTGCTTTGAGACGATAGAGAATAGTACCATAGATCAGGATTTAATAACTCTTAACACCAGATACTCTCCTAAACACTAATCCTTCACTTCATCCATTCCTCATCTCCAAACCAATACTCTAATTCCTTGCGAAAACCCCTTTCTCCTCAAGTCCAAGCATTTTGTTGGTAAAGGTCACTTACAATCCAGTGTTAGCGATCTTCGGGAACTCGTGCGACTGAGTTTGGCTCTTCAGGAGATTTTCCGTCTGTGAAGCCAGATTTCGGTCAAAGGACTGGCCGAATGGGACCAGAGAGGGCAGATAAAGAAGGGATTTTGGGGCGAAAAGAGGCTGGTTTTGGGCATTTTTGACATTTTCGGCATTTTGAGAGGATTTTGGCAGATTTTGAGCATTTTTGGAACTTTTTGGACTATTTTGAGTGCTGTGGGTTTTTGAAAGGGGTGGTGATGAAGGGTTATTTTGACTGGAATTTGAGTATTTTGACCTCATCTCAGTGAAACTGTAGGTATCTTAGGCCAGAGAAGGTACTGATTATGTGTCTCCAATAAGCATTGAGAGCTTATATGATTTTGTAATAGAATAAGTCATTGTTTTTAATTTTAAAAGCATGAGATAAAGGTAGAAGTTTTACCTTTTACTGGCTTCCCAGGATCCTTTACTAGTATCTTCTTGAGACTCTTCCTCTAGTGTTGCTGAAATATTACCTATTTCCTAAATAGAGTGTTTAGGCATTTTGAATAGGAATTTACCTTTGATAAATCTTTTGCTCGATCATTTTTAAAATGTGTAGTTGCTGAGTGACGATATGCATCTTTTTTTGTATTACGTTTGGTCCCAGCTAGAAGGAAATTATTGGAACTGAGTTCATGAGAAAATACAAAATAAATAAAGATATTTCGATATTTATAACTATAAGATCATAAGCATATAATTTTGATATCATAACTTGATATAATTTTTTTCCTTGAAATATACCACCAATATACTCTATACTCTAAATCATAACCATTTTTTCCAAAATTTCATATCTCAACAATCTCTCCTTAAACCCTGAAGGTTGTTTGTATTACTTACTTGTTTCCCTTTCACCTCCTTCCTCAGCACCTCTATTTTTCCCGAATCCAAAGAACTGGTTATTTCTCTATCCCTTGGAGTCCTTTAAGCATTGGAGAACTGTCAATGACGCTCATCCGCTTTTGGCGTTTATTCCTAATAAAATCGTCTACGTCCTTAGTGTGTAAAACTCTCGTTGGCTTGTTCCTAAACTGGCTTTCTTTTCTGCGTTCATGAACCTATGCTTTATGTTCACCCCTCCAGGTTCCATAGAGCTCAAGCACTTGGAGAAATGGCCCTAAGGGCTTTAAGGAACTAATCTAGTTGTCTTAAGGTAAGGTTTAGAAGTATTTTAGAGCAAATAATAGGCAAATAATCCCTAATATGAGGTATTTAGGGCTGTGATAACTTACCTGAGACTTCTCCTGCTCGGAATTTCTTGGCTTAGAACCATCCTTCGAACGTGAACTAATGATTCTGGGCTTGAAAGGGTTAGTGAAGCTTAGAGAGAGCCCATTGTTTTCGAAATAACTTGGATCCAGCTCGATTTTATTGGAACTTAGTAAGAATTTCATCCTCTGAGCGATGAAAGAAAGCTTTTGCCTAACAGTATGTAAGACTTCACATTTGGTTCGACTAACGACCCTGAATAGCTCTTCTTTGTCAATCACTCTTGCCTTCCCACTTTTGGAGATACATTTGACAGTGGTGAAATACCTGCTTGGAAGAGTTCCTGAATCAAACACGCTTTCTACAAGCCCTACACACTCGTATCTCTGATTTTTGGAGAGCCTCATTTCGATCTTCTTGAATCCCTGCATTCTTTTGTTAAATATTTCTTTATTAATCCTGTCAAATGAGAAAGTCAAGGGCTAAATTGAGTCAGCTCTGACAAATTTGGCTTACCATTGAGTCAGGGTCAAGAAGCGACTCTATCAAGCTCTGGTCTTTATCAGATTCGATTCGGAAGTATTCACATATGACTTTGTTCTTCTTTTGGATGTAAATATTCTTGGTCATTTCATACTCACCATTCTCGAGGAGGATAATATCCTTCACTTGACTTCCCTCAGAGACGATTGTTTGCCCACGGACGTATTCACAAGAGACCATGGGATATCAGAGCTTTTGCTTTGTAATTCTAGTCAGACCTTGAATGAAGGAGAAGTTTGACAGGAACTCAATATCTTTTGCAAATTTACTCCTATACATCTTTCCCATGATTTTGTTAAAATTCTCTTTCTCAAGTACAGCAAATTTTGAGTTCTCAGTACAAAGAATTGTGGCTGATCTTAGCTTATCTTCTAGCAAGGCAAGTTCCCCAAAGCTGGCTCCAACACCTGTAGAAGTTTATTTAGACAATAAATACTTGGAATAGCTTACTTAGTTGGACAACTTCTAGGATGAAGTTGAGAGTGATATATCTTGTATCAGCATCTTTACCTTTCTTTACAAATTTTGATCCAGCTATAAGTAAGTCTGGCACTAAAATTTACTGTAAAAATCATTAAAATCCTTGAATTTGGGGATACCATCCGGGTAATTATGCTGGATGTAAGAGATTATTTTCCCTCTTAATACTCTTTTAGTTGTATCTATATCTAATTGTAGGTTCTTTCTGTAGTCTTCAAAGACCAAGTCAGGGATTATGCCCTGAATAAGCACCATAACTTCCTGGTATTTATCATTTTGAATGACCCATTCATGATCATTGACCAACAGTACCAACAGTTCTTGGAATGTGAAGTCTCTTTCAACAATTGAGGGGACTCTGACTGCGACATTGCCTCTGAGTACGATATAAAACTTGGTTCCATGCTCTCCGAACTTCATCACTGAATCGCCCTTCTTCATATCCTCAAATTCCATTGTATTGTATATCATCTCGTACGGGTCAGATTTGGCTGCTTGTTCTTCTTGATCTTTTCTTTCTTGACATGCTTGGGATCCCTCTTCTTCATCCTGGCGCACCGGTGCAGACTCTAAAGTGGAGCTTAAGGACTGTAAAACCTAGTTTTGGCTACATTTTTAAATGCCAGATTTTGTAGCTTGATTTTTAAGCGACTGGAGAACTCACCTTGCTGCATCTTTTCAAAAATCTCTTCTAAGTCATTTTTCTTTAAGAAATTTTTGATTCATTTGAAAATAATTCCTTTCTCACGTGAGCTTTGTGGTGGCTTAATGAAGCCAGAAGCTATTGCTTTTTGTTTTAGGCCTAGATTTAGTCGGAATTTGAGGGCTTACCGTCTTTTTTGGGTGTGATTTCGTTCTGAAAACCTATATTTGGTCATTTTGAAGCCATTTTTAAGGATTTTAGGTATCACAGCTGGGGTTTGAAAGTACAAATATTGCTTTAAAGTTCTCCGAGGCTGAGAATTTATCATTTAATATGTAGAAAGTAGGCTCTCCAGATGACTAAAATCCTAATTTCATTAAGAGTTAGGTGGAGAATTATAAAGATAGAGCTTTATTTTTGTAAAACTTATATTTATCCCTATACTGAGACATGCCCAATTCTAATTTCTAGAGCAACCCAAGTCTCTGTGCAAGATTATGGACTTGGACTTTCTTGTAAATTATAAAAATAGGCAAATATTTTAATGTTAAAGAAAGTGGAAGACTGCTTAGGAGTTATCTCACCAGATTTCATCTAAATTATTAGTTATTCCCTTACTTGGCTGTGTGTCATCCTTTTGGTATCACTAATGTCGCTATCTAAGATACTCTTGACTTCTTCATCTTCTAGGTTGAATGATTCAGAAAGTTTGCTTTGGGGTTCTGTGTTCATTTGTTTCCTAACAAGTTATTATCAATATCACAAAATTCTTGAAATCTAAAGAACCCAATGCCCGATCAGATAGGCTAGTGAGGATGAACACCAGTGTGAGTATCCACCCACTGGCAACTAGAAATATTTCATACTTGTGGAGAAATATAAAATTTTATAATCTTTCTATACCAAGATCATATTTCGGGGTTTTGGGGTTTTGGGGTTTTGGGGTTTTGGGG